CAGGGAGCCCGATGTGGGACTCGATCCCGGGACTCCAGGATCATGACCTGAGCCGAAGGCAGTCGCTTAACCAACTGAGCCACCCAGGCACCCAAGTATGTAAATATTTTTAAGTATTTGCTAATTTGGTAAATAAAAATGTTAATGTTCAACAATATTTCATTTACAAGCCATCTGAGTTTCTTCTTCCATGAACTGTATACATCATCTGTAAATTTTTCTGTTTTAAGGGAATAGTTTTCCTTATTATTTTTAAGATCTTTTTACAATCTGAGGATACTAATTTATCTTTTTTTAAAGATTTTATTTATTTGAGAGAGAGAGCATGAGTGGGGGTGAGGGGCAGAGGGAGAGGGAGAAGCAGACTCTCTGCTGAGCAGGGAGCCACCCAGGCACCCCAAGAAAAATGTTTATTTTAAAAGATGGAGCATCTGTCAAATACTGTAGAAGAGAATGAGGTCCTAGACTGACTAATTAAGCCAGGAAAAACTGGCTGCGTGGGGGGGAAAAAAAAAGGTTAGAGCGTCCGCTTGTTCCAAGATCAGAGTAGATTCCAGTTGATTTTAAAATGGATTCCAAGGGGCGCCTGGGTGGCTCAGTCGTTAAGCATCTGCCTTCAGTTCAAAGTCATGATCCCAGGGTCCTGGGATCGAGCCCCACATTGGGCTCCCTGCTCCGCGGGAAGCCTGCTTCTCCCTCTCCCACTCCCTCTGCTTGTGTTCCCTCTCTCGCTGTGTCTTTGTCAAATAAATAAATAAATAAAATCTTTAAAAAAGTTATAGTTAAGTACAGATCACAATATGACAAATGTCTCTGAACCTGTCACCCAGAATGAACAAATATTAACAAATTTGTCATGTTTTCTTTAGGTCTTTAAAAAAAATAATAAAGGCCCCGAATCCACAGAGCTGGTATGCAACAGCAATGGGATCCCAAGTCTGGTCTTTATGATTTTCAGCCTAGTGCCTGGTATCCTATCCTTTGGGACATGGCAGAAATTGTCATAGGGGTGTCACATGGGAGGGAGGACAGGCCTCCTTTTCCTGCCACAAAGACCCATCTGTGGGCACGACTGGGACTCTGGGCCCCAAATAGCGGCTTGCGGGTGGGTGGGGCGCTGCAGGGTCTTGAGGTTTTTCTGTCTTGGGTGTTGGGCAGTCCCAAGTTTCAGTTCCACTTGGTCTCTTGCTGCTGGTGATCTTGGATGAGGCCCTTGGCCTCTCTGAGTCTCAGTTTAACACCTATCTATCAGCACTATTGTAGTGGTAGGAATAAGAGAATAATAAAGCCCCTGGAACATAGCAGGAATCTTATATGTGGGGGGTATGACTTTTCTGTTTCTGTGGAGGGAAAAAGACCCCCTTCGCTCTCAGATTCCCTTTACGTTGCTCTTCATTTTCTTTTTATTTTTCTAAAGCAGTGATCCCTTTACGATGACTTTGTCTATTATGCTTATTGTTTATTGTCTGTCTCCTTCCACTAGAACATAAACTCCATGAAGCTGGATCTTTGTTGTGGTTACTGTAGTGTCCTAATTGGCCAGAACAGTGCCTAACATCTAGTAGGTGCTCAATAAATGTATATTGAATGAATGAGTGGGATCTGCAGCACTGATCTGTGAAGCATCTGGTAGAGACTCTTCTTAGCTAGGCGGGAGAGAGCACCTTCAGAGGGTGCTCCCTGCAGTGCCTCTACCCCATCTGGCCTAGGGTTTCCCAAATCTGTTCACACTCTTTGTTAGATTGGGAGTACCAGCACATCAGGGACTTCATCCTTCCTGCCTGTTGCTGTCGGGGAGTGGTAGATTTCTGCTCAAAGGCCCCGAGGAGAAGGTAACCTACTGTTTAAAGGTTTGAAGGAAGCATTATATGGGTTGTTATATATTATGTATACTATTGTATACATGTACATATGTGCATATATATGTGTGTGACATCTGGGTGTCAAGCGAGCTCCCCAGTAGCTCCCAGTGGGCTCCCCCTGCGAGCGCGGCGACCCCCGCTGCGGGTGGGCAGCGCCCCCACTGGGAAGCTGTCCTAGATAAAGGCGGCCACAGCCCCTCCTCTGAACTCCTCCTGCGCCGCAGCCACGTCAGGTGGGAGAGGGGTGTGCGGGGACGGGGCGAGCGGGGGGAGGGTGGAGGCCGCGACCCGGAGGTGCGGAGGACCCCGCGCGCTGCGGGGCGGGGGCTCGGCTCTCCCCCGCCCACCGCGGGGCGGGGCGCAGGCTCCGCGGCGCTGGGACCGCGCGCTCCTGGAAGCGCCACCCGCTCCTCCGCGCGCGCCGGCCCCTCGCGGTGCCTCCCGGGCTCCCTGGGCGTCTGCCCGGTCCGCGGCCGCCTCTTCTTCCCCAGCCCCGCGGCGCCTGTCGCAGTCGCCGGCAGCGGAGCAGCGCCGAGCGCCCAGGTACCGAGCGCGGGCGGGAGCGGGGTCGGGGATCCGGCGGCGGCGCGGCCGCCGCTGCTGCTCCTGTCCCCGCGGGCCGGCCGGGCGTCCTCCCGCACGCCGCAGGGGACCGTGACGGCCCAAGCCCTGGCTGCCTCTGCGTCGGCTCGGAGACCTGCCTTCCCCACCCGGGGCTTTGCTGTGCTTCGCGGGCCCCCGCCCTGTCACCCCATGTGACCGTGGCTCGCGACCTAGCGCCCCGGTACGCCCACCTGCCGCGGAGGGGGCTGCCCCCTGCCGAGCGCGCACGTTGGTCCCCGGCTCCCAGCTCCTCAGGTCCCCGCCCCAGGCGGGCGTCCCCGTCCCGACCCTCCCTCCCGCTCCCTCTAGGGGGCTCTGCTCCCACCGGTCCAACCTCCCAGTCATCTGCGGTCCTTGACTTCCCGCCCGCTCCCTCTCGGGGACACTGCGCCTCATCAGGTGCGCCCTTCCAAACTCCCTACCCGTTTGCTCCGTGTCCCCACCTCACACCATATTACCCCTCTCCATCTTCCTTGGGTCCTTGCCCCTTGACCTAGTGCCCCTGTCTCTATCTTCCCATCTGACCCCTGGTGACGGTCTGTTCCCACCGACGACGCCCATCCAGCCTCCGCTCCTCCAGGTCCCTCACCCAGGCCTCCCGCCCACCCTACCTCGTCCTCCGGACCCCTCTCGGGCCTGACGTCCTCGCCCCCCGCCCCCATGGTCCCGGAGCCCGGCCCTGCCAACAACAGCACCCCGGACTGGGGGTCGGGGACGCCGTCGGAGCTGGCGGGCAGCGGATGGGTGGCGGCCGCGCTGTGCGTGGTCATCGCGCTGACGGCGGCGGCCAACTCGCTGCTCATCGCGCTCATCTGCACGCAGCCCGCGCTGCGCAACACGTCCAACTTCTTCTTGGTGTCGCTCTTCACGTCGGACCTGATGGTGGGGCTGGTGGTAATGCCGCCCGCCATGCTGAACGCGCTGTACGGGCGCTGGGTGCTGGCGCGCGGCCTCTGCCTGCTCTGGGCCGCCTTCGACGTGATGTGCTGCAGCGCCTCCATCCTCAACCTCTGCCTCATCAGCCTGGACCGCTACCTGCTCATCCTCTCGCCTCTGAGCTACAAGCTGCGCATGACGCCCCCGCGCGCCCTGGGGCTTGTCCTGGGCGCCTGGAGCCTGGCTGCCCTCGCTTCCTTCCTGCCCCTGCTGCTGGGCTGGCACCAGCTGGGCCGCGTGAGGGCCCCTGCCCCGGGCCAGTGCCGCCTGCTGGCCAGCCTGCCGTTCGTCCTCGTGGCGTCGGGCCTCACTTTCTTCCTGCCCTCGGGCGCCATCTGCTACACCTACTGCAGGATCCTGCTGGCCGCTCGCAAGCAGGCCGTGCAGGTGGCCTCCCTCACCACCGGCACGGCCGGCCAGGCCCTGGAGACGCTGCAGGTACCCGGGGCGCGGGGAGACCCGGGCTTGTGGGATGGAGAGGAATGAGCAGCCGCTGGGTGCCCACGCGGCATCCATCGCTTAATATATACACTTGCTGGTGACCTCCAAGTGGGCATCTCCAACACACACGACTCTTCTGCATTCTAGACTCAGTGCTAACTGTCCACAGGACAGCTGCGTCAGCATGCGGGGCAGGCTTCGAGAAGGTAGCATGTGCTAAGGGAATTCAGGGTGTCCCCACCCTCCCGGTCGTTCCCGTCATGGCAAATGGCACCATCATGGCAGTACCCCACAGAAACTCAGGAATAATTTTTCTCCCTCATGCTCATGGGGTTCATTATCAAGCCCTGTTGGTGTTGTCCTCCTGAACACGTACCACCTCCAAGGCCACCTCCCTCAACCAGGCCCCCATTGCTTCTTTCCTGGAAGCCCTCGCTAGTCTCCTACTGGCTTCCCCTGCTTCCTCTTCAGACTCACTCCTCTCTACTCTCTGCCCAGACACCAGAGCATTTGACAAAACAGAAGTGAGCCCCTCACTCTTAAGATAAAAGAGGAGACCCATGTTGGGATCTGGTCTGGGAATGTGGTCCTGCCAAGCTCTCCAGCTTCACCTACTCCCCTTGCCCTCTCTCCTCATGCACCAGCCCTTCTGATGTTTCTGGAAGGCACCAGACTGCAGTGTCCAGGACTTGGCATCGCTGTTCCCTCTGCCTGGACAGCTCTTCCCCTGGGGCTGCCCTGTCTGACTCCTTTTCAGCTCACAGGTCACCTCTTCCCAGAGTCTGTCCCTGACCACCCTGTCTGCAGACCCATCGGCACTCCCTCACCCTGTTATTTATCCCAACCGTAGGTTTATATGTTGACTTGTTCATTGTGTCTCTCCCCCATGAGAGTGTAAGCTGGGCACATCTGGGGCGGTTTTGATCCCCACTGTACATCCTAGGTGCTTACTAATGACTTGTGAGTGCTAAGGCCCTGCAACGTCTGGAGTGCGGTGGCTGTTCTTGTCACTCAGGCCATTGGCACCCGAGTCTTACTGTCTATTGTCCTAAACCCCCAAGGAATGGGAGTTTAGGTTGTTGAGGACTGAGGCCCAGAAAATTAGGTCACAGGCCCCGAGGAAGGTCCTGATGGGGCTCTCCAGTCTTGATGTAGCCCCAGGCGGAGGAGGCTCCTGCAGGATGGGGGTAGTACCTGGGGGCTTGGATGGATGGGGGCTGAAAGGTGGGCCCTCCGAGCAGCTTGCCTGCCCCATCAACCAGGGGAACAGGCCTTGGGTGGACAGGAGGTCCAGGCTGCAGTCTTACTCCCTCCCTCCGTCTGTGCTCACTGGAGAACGTTCCTGAGTCACAGTAGGTGGCTGTGACCCTGACTCTGTTCTCCAGCAGTAGGAAGGCTGCCCTAGGCCATCCACACTCTCTCCCTGGGTTCTTGTAAAGGAGCGTTTCCCAAACTCGAGGCACCTGGAACCACCTTGGGCCGTCTGCCTTCTTTCCAGCCACCCACACGCCTCAGGCGGCTTCTTTCTTCTGTAGTTTGCATTTTTCTCTCCATCGCCTCACTTATCTTTTTACTTCCATGCATTTGTTTAGAAAGGAAACTTCTTATCTCTTCTGGAAACGGAAACTCGGGTACCTTTGCCATAAACAGAAGGCGGTCCCAAAGACAGGGGCAGTGCGTGGTGGGAACCCCAGCAGGGTTGCTGAAGCCTGGAGGGGAGCTCCAAGTGGCCCGGCCCAGGCTCGCTTCCTCTTTGGTGCTAGCGGGGTGTTAAAGACAGAGGGGCATCAACACCCACTTCCTCTTGACACAACTGGAAAAGGAGCTGGAAGAGTGCTGGAAAAGGCTCATGTTCTCAGTCTGTCATTTAGTTCTGTTATGGGTCATCTTCCTCTTCCGTGCTTTGGGGAGCTCTGCACCAGTGACTAAGGATGTGAGGAGGTGGCTGGTCTTGGTGAGGCTGGGGTGGGACGGGTCTGGATTTTCCGTGCCAGTGTCACCTGTGACACACTTTTCTGTCCCTGAGGCTAATTGGCTGGTGCCAGGATTGAACCTGAGACTGTGGCCTGGAGCCCCCGGGGTGTTGACTACGGCAGTGCCACAGTTTCTCAGTGCCCACTGTGTGCCGGCACCTGGCCAAGCTCGTGCCCCAAACACCCACCCGGGCAAGGACTACCATCATCCCTGTTGGACAGATGGGGAGCTCGGGGTTCCGAGAGAGGGGAGGTGTCAGAACCCACCACTTCCCAAACCACTCAGCTCCTAAGCCAGCCTCCTGCCTGCCTGTTTTCCTTATTGTCTGCACAACTGCCTGTGTTTTGGGAATTTGTTTCTGGGACATAGCGTCTACTCCATCTTCCTGGGTCACGACCCCCTTTCCTCCCACCCAAGCTGGCCGGCCCCTGAGACTAGGCTTCCAGCTGGGTACTTGAGGCTCCCAGTACCTGGACCTAAAGGAATTGATGAGAACGAACAAAACTTGGGGTGCATTAGACCCCTTTCCTTCTGTCCTCAGCCCTACTTAGCCCTGAGCTCCCTTCCCCAGTCCAGCCGCTAGCTTCTCCCCGGAGGGTGGGGGATCGGAGGGGGACATGGGTTTCTGAAGCCCCAGCTCCTCTGGGTTTGAGGCCATGGTAACTGAGCAGGCTTGAGTATTTTAATCTCTCCTCCCACCCCCCACATCTGCTAGGTATGTGAACAGGCTTTTCAGAAGCCACCGGTCAGCTCAGTGGTTTCAGCCAGGCTTTCCCAGCCCCGCGGCTGTGAGGTGGGGGTCTCCCTTACAGCTGAGGCAGAGACTGGGCTGGGGATGAAGAGCGGGGCATGGGGAGAGTGGTTTCAGAGTGAATGAGATGCCGCCAGCGTACGGGAGAGAGGGAGAGAGAGAGAGAGATCTGTGCCAGGGTGGGATGGTGCTCATCCTCGGGAGGGACCCTTGTGGGAGCTCAGTGATGGCGAGCAGCAGGTCTGCTGGGGCGTTTGCCTCCCCAGCCTCTTTGTCTCTGTGTCGGGACCTGTGCCTTTGGTTTGGAGCCCTTGCCCCTCTGTCTTCCTCCGCACCTCATCTTCCTTCCCTTCTCCCACCCTCTCTCCTCTGGGTCCATCTTGCCCCCTTCTCTGCCCTCTACACCCTCCCGTCGGCCTCTCCCCTTCTCTCCCATCAGTTTCTCCCCCTCTCCTCCTCCACCAGCCTTTTCCACCCTCCCTCACCCAACTCTGCCTCACTTTGTCTTAGCGATCTGTCTTCCCTTCCATCGCTGTCCTTCCTCCTCAGAGGAGGAGGCTGTGATCACAGAAATATCTCAGAGGAGGAGGAGGGGGCTGAGCTGGGAGAGGCTGACAGAGGAGCAGCGCCGAGAGCATGGCAGCCTAGGCTGCTGCTGGGAACAAGGTGGCCCGGAGCAGCCAGAACTGGCTGCAGGAGCTTGTGCATCTGGCTGGTCAGGGGTTCAAATGCTGCCTCCTTTCCCTCCCTGCTGATGACTTTGGACCAGTCATTCAGCTCCTGCTGCCCCAGGGGTAATGCCACTTATCACATGAGGCTGTTTGAGGAATCGGTGAGATAACATATGTCAGCCTGGCACATACTAGGTGCTCAGCACGCGTTAGTTCGTCCCCTTTCCTCTGGGGGTAAGATATGTGGTTCTGGAGAAATCACCATCCCTTTGAGCCTCTCTAAGGAAAAAAAATCTGCCACTTCTGCCAATAACAGCATCATCACCAGAAGCAAAGAGCTGAGTTGGACTCCAACAACAGAAATGCTGGCTGACGCTTACATGGGCTTACTGTGTGCCAGGCACTGATCAGCTGACTTTGTGCATATTATCTTCGTTAGTTCTTACTACAACCCTGTGAGGTAGACGCCACTGTAATTGCCATTTTACAGATGAGAAAGCTGAGGCACAGAGAGGTGAAACTCCTCGCCTGAGGTCACACAGCCAGTTAGTAACAGAGCCACAATTTGAAACCAGACCGTCTGGCTCCGGAGTCTGTCTTAGAACCCTCACACTACGAGTAGGTGATCGTAAAAATTTTGAATTACACAAGGGAATACATAAATACACTTTAAAATTAAAATCCAGGGGGTGCCTGGCTGGCTTATTTGGTAGAGCATGAGGCTCTTGATCTTGGGGTCGTGAACTCAAGCCCCACGTTGGGCATAGAGCCTACTTAAAAAAAAAAAAAAAATCCAGCCATAGAGATAAAGTGAAAGACCTTCCCAAATCCCACCCAGTCACCTTCCGTTCCCAGGGACACTCTTATCGATTTAGGATATTTCTTTCTACTCCTGTATCTTTGTGTTTCCATGTTTGTTTATGCACCCAAAGGACTTAGTGCTTTGTTTTGTGTATTTTTTATTTAAAAAAGATTATTTATTTGAGAGAAAGAGAGAGACCACAAGCGGGAGAGAGGGAGAAGCAGGCTTCCCGCCGAGCAGGGAGCCCGAAGCGGGGCTCAATCCCAGGACCCTGGGATCATGACCTGAGCTGAAGGCAGCTGCTTAACTGACTGAGCCACCCAGGCACCCCTGTCTTCTGTATTTTTTAAGCAAATGGAGTCCTGTTGTACCTATTATTTTGCAACTTGCCATTACCACTTAATATTGATGTTATGTCTTGGAGATCTTGTCATTTGACCAATTACATTCTTTTAAACATCTATGTTGTCAACTACAGTGGGAAGGTACTATGGTTTATTTAACCGCCATCCTTCCATGCACATTTAGGCTGTTTCAGTTTTTTCCAGGAATAGTGTTGCAATACACATGTCCATGTATCCCGAGTGTACAAACGTGCTCGGGTATTTATTGCACAGGGGAACCTGTACATGGGACTGCCTCCTGGAGGGGCAATGCCAGCCTGTCATCCAGGCAGCTGCCCTCGGTGTCATTAAGGGGCATGCGGACAACAGCACATGGCCGTGAGGGCAGAGAGAAGTGGGCAGGTGCGGCGGGCATCAGCTGGACTCTGGGTGAGGTCAGTGGCTGTCACAGGCCTCTGTTCCATGAGGGCCTCTGGTGACAGTTCTGGGGGTCTCTCTCTGTAAACCCCCACATGCGGAAGTGCAGTTTCTGGAGCTAGAAATGACTTTGAATCCCTGACTCAACCCTTATCTGCTGCATGACTTCGGGCAAGTTCTTTTGCCTCTCTGAGCCTCATCAGCAAAATGGGGTAATAATACCTACCTCAGGTCAAGACTGAATGGCATGATGGGTATCAGATGCTGACACATAGTAAGCACTCCCTAAATGCGGATGATGGTGCTGATTGGGGGTCACTTGGAGTGCTTTGCTTTGAGGCCTTGTACTGGGACAGTGTGACCTGGGGAAGGTCCCCTATCCTCTCTGAGCCTTGGTTTCCTTCTCTCTTCCCTTTTGCCTGTGTTCTTGGGTCAACTCTTTGGGGAAAAGAAGAGAAAAAAAAAACCCAGTGTTTTCCCAGGAAGATTCCTAGAGAGGGAATCTGAGGCCATCTTTAATTCCTTCTCTGGAGCCCCCCTTCCCAGTGATTGCCTCTCACCCAGATGTCTCTCTGGTGTCTCAGTTCCCCAGTGCCCTAGAGCTCTGACAAGATCAGGGCTGTCTCTTGCCCCGCCCAGGTTGCCAGAGGTCGGGGGGGGGGGGTAACCTGTGTGAGTGGCTCCTCTGGAGATGGTGGTTCCCTCCTTCCCTGTTATCTATCCCCATCGATGGCAGCAATTTGAAGGGATGGCAGATCTTTGGGGGTAAGCAGGAACCTCTCCTCCAGGCTGACCACGGTGGGGCCACAGAAGCCATATAGAGTCTACCCTGGAAGGGAGAAAAGGAGACGATGAAAGAGAAAAGCAGAGGCTTTTCCCCCTCCCTTGCTACAGCATGGTGAGTCAGAGCATTTGTCCTGACATCTGTGCTGCTTCGGGGAGCCTGAGCTCCTGGCAGAAGGACAGGGCTCCTGAGGATGCTCAAAATTTCCCCAACCTCCAACACATACCACTGAACCAACCTCAGGGCTACTATGTATGTAGCACTTAACTCTGTATCGGGCACTCTGCATGCATTTATTTTCCACAGCCTCGCAATGACTCCACAAGCTGAGTATTGTTTTTCCCATTTTACAGATGTGGAAACAGAGACTGTCTCAAGATCACAGAGCGAGTAAGTGGTAGAGGCATGACTTGAAGCCAGATCACTTGTCTTACAGTCTAGCTCTTGCCTCCGCACAATGCTGCCCCACCCAGACAGAGGGGAGAAATCAAGATCTTCTCTTAGGCTGCTCTTTGTGAATTTGTCCTTGGTATTCATATAACCAGATTTCACCTGGATAAACATACTGAGGGGTGGGAGTTATGGTGTGCTTCATCTCCCCCCTCCTGCCCACCGCCATTCTAGACTCCTTGATCCTATGGAAAGATAGCATAGACCTGGGGTTTCAGCACCATGGACAGGACATCAAGTCTGGATAACCTGTGGAGGCCTGCGCCTGAGAGCAGGGTGGGGGTTTGGCTTGGGTGCTCCTGGGGACTGACAGATCTTCTTGGCTTTGCCTCCTCCGCCCCCTTTCCCTCTGCGAGGGTTGCCTGGGAATCAGGTTGCCTTCCTGCCTCCTTCTGACTCTTCCAATTACCCTATACTCAACCCACCTCTGGCTCCCTGGAGAGCTAAGCTGGGCTCTCTTGCAGTTTAGGAAATGTTGGAGGAGGGGCACCTGGCTAGCTCAGTCAGAGGAGCTTGCAACTCTTGATCTCGGGGCTGTGAGTTTGAGCCCCACGTTGGGTGCAGAGATTACTTAAAAATCTTAAAAAAAAAAAAAAAAGAAAGAAACGTTGGAGGAATCCCTTGCTCCCACAGGCTAGGCGTGCTCCCACAGGCTAGGCGTGTTCCCAGGCTGCACACACGACCTTTACACAGTTCAATGAACTGTGCACAGCTTGGCCTACTGGTATTTACTTAAATTATAAGTGTAAGTTGGTCCCACTTTGTGTAAAACTGATGTATGAAAATCCAAATTGATTACAACACGCACTTTAGAAGAGGGCTTCATGTCCCAGCTTTCGTGGGATTTGGGGGTTTCGTGGCCAGGCCTCAAGGTGATCTCTGAACCCGCTGGAAATGTGGGATGTTTTCTCCTTCTCTGTGTGTGCATGTGTAACAATTTATATGCTTTTTGTTTTCTGGGGAAAGGTTTTGTAGATTGCATCGGATTCTCAATGAGCTCAGGAGCTTGAAAAAGTTAAGGAAACAGCTAAAGGATCGGCCAGTTCAGAGCTTTCTAATGTTTTGGGGCTGCTGGTCACTAGTTTGCAAAGTCAAATTCTAACCTCCTCATGCCTGCGTCCCCTTCAAGGCTGATGTGGGGCAGCTTCTTTCTCCTTCTTTTCTTCCCCACACTCCAGCTCTTGAGGTCAATGTTTGGGAATGAAGATGTCTGTCAGTCCACAGTGTAATTTGAGTTGTAAAATGCTGAGGTCACTAGCACCCCTAGTAGCCTAAAATTGATTTCATTGCAAACATTTACTCTGTGCACGTTTTCAGAAAAGGACTATTTTGTGCAGCATGAGGGTAATGGTGCAGGCAAAATCATTACTCCCAAATAGGAGAATCTGTCTATGAAGATGATTTGTCATGCCCTGGGTGGCAGCAAGACATCTTTTGTCAAATACTGTTGAATTGCAACTAATTCTTGTAGGGCCAGAGGCTTTGTGTGGTGCTGGGGCTCGTGGTCACGTGTGTTGACTTGTGCTGAGTGTTGTCTTTTGCGAGGTGGGCAGGGGGGGGTCTCCTGAACTGACAGTGTTAGTCTGTCTCACTGTCCTTCTTAGAGCGCCTTGTGTCAGGGTCAGGGCTCAGTGCTGGGCCAGCATCAGGGCTCAGTCTATTGCTGAGCTCAGGCCACAGTGTGGGACTAAGGCTGGGCTCAGTCCGGTCCAGGGTTGAGGCTCTGTTTGAGACCTTGGTTATGAATTTCTATGGTAACTATCCGGGCTCAGTCTGGAACCATGAGCAGGGCTTGGTTTCTTGCTGATGTCAGGGCTTGGTCTAGAGCCAGGATCAAGGTTGCTCTGGAGTCAAGGTCAGGTCTACTGTTGGGGAATCTAGCACTACAGTTGAGGCTCAGTCAAGGATCAGGAGGGCTCAGTTTATTGCTGGTACTAAGGCTCAGTCTAGAATTAGGATTGAGGCTTAGTCTGTGGCTGGGATCAGGGTCAGACTGGGGCTGTTTCGCAGGTGACTTATGTATGTGGCCTTCCTTCCACAGGTACCCAGGACCCCACACCCAGGGATGGAATCAGCTGATAGCAGGCGTCTGGCCACCAAGCACAGCAGGAAGGCCTTGAAGGCCAGTCTGACACTGGGCATCCTGCTGGGCATGTTCTTTGTGACCTGGCTGCCCTTCTTTGTGGCCAACATAGCCCAGGTAATGCCACCGCAGGGGGCAGGTGAGTCCAGGCCTCGCTGGGGAGGCCCCAAACTGCACCCTAGCCCAGACATGGGGATAGAGGGGGGTGGGCTGCCTCTCATGGCCTCTGTGTTTGTGGGTTCCTGTCCCATCCATGCTGGCCAGGGTGGTCTGTGACCCTGCTCCGGGACCGAGCATGATGTACCCCATCTCTCCAGGCTGTGTGCGACTGCATCTCCCCAGACCTCTTCGATGTCCTCACATGGCTGGGTTACTGCAACAGCACCATGAACCCCATCATCTACCCACTCTTCATGCGGGACTTCAAGCGGGCCCTGGGCAGGTTCCTGCCGTGTCCCCACTGCCCTGAGGAGCGCCGGGCCAGCCTCGCCTCACCCTCTATGCGAACCTCTCACAGCGGCCCCCGGCCCGGCCTGGGCCTGCAGCACGTTCTACCACTGCCGCTGCCACCTGACTCCAGTTCTGACTCAGGCTCAGGTTCCGGTGGCTCCTCGGGCCTGCAGCGCACGGCCCAGCCCCTGCTGCCTAGAGAGGCCCCCCGGCAGCCCCTGCCCTCTGCCAGGGCTGCCGCGGTGGTCAATTTCTTAAACATCGATCCTGTGGAGCCCCAGCTGCAGCTGCATCCCCTTGGTGCTCCCACGAACTGACCCGGGCTTGGAGCTGGTCGGCGGGAGCTGGACTGGATAGAACCAAGTCCCCAAGTCTTTGGACCAGCTCTTGGCTAAGGCTGGCAGGCTGCAGGTGTCCTGGGGGCCCTTGGAGTGCCAGTGGGGTGCACTGAGCCAGCCCCCACTGCCCACCCCTGGGGGGGGGAAACAGCTGGCTCAGATACGGTTTTCTCCAGGACGCCCCACTGCTGAGTGCAACCTGTGGGTGTGTGTGGACGTGGCTGGAGGACTCTGGCAGAGGGCAAAAGGACTTCTGGGTTCAGGTTAGGGTGAAGACAATCATCTTTGACATTTGATGAGACTGCAGGGGAGGGATGCCTCTGTCTGCAGAGGTGGATGAGTGCTGGGTTGAGTCCCTCATTCCTCAATGGGTAGTCCTCAGGCCACCGGCACTTGTGGCACCTCCCTGGAGTTTGTTAAAAATGCACACCACTACCCCCTCCCCCTCCCGCCACCCAAGACCTGCCGAGTCAGAATCTGCATGCTCGCAGGAGCCCCAGGTGAACTGTGTGCACCGTATAGTTTGAGCCACGCTGGCTTGGATGATCTTTAACCATGAGAATGATTTTTCAGTCTGGACAGTGCCTCAGGATGTGTGTGGGGCTGCACAGAAAAACACCTGGCCTGGGAGTCAGGAAGGCAGAAATCCGAATCTCCGCTCCACTACTCACTAGCTCTTGCATAGGTCTCTTAACCTTTCTGAGCCTGGTATTCCATGTACAAAGTGGGGTAACAATGCCTGCTTCATAGGGTGTCACCAAAATCAGGAGAACATGTGTAGAGTACCCAGTACCTACAGGTGGTCCTGCCGTAGGTGGTACCAGCTGTTGCCACAACTCCTGGGCATCCAGCCCCCTTGGCCTCTCGCTGTGGGCCAGGAAGGGCTGTTTGTTCCCACTCTTTTCCCCATCTCCCTCCTTCTCTTCAGCCCTGGCCCAGATCCCACCACCTGACTGACCATGGCTCCCCACCTTTTTGCTCTGGATGCCGGGCGGGGCCCCCATCCCCGCTCCCAGGCTGCTGCACCGCCTCTCCTGGGGGGCAAAGCGGGAGCTGGTGGTTTCTTGCTCAACACCAGGAATAGGTCTCCCTCCACCCTGGAAGGGAACTAACTGATGGGGATACACCAGCCCATGGCCCCACCTCCTCCTGGCATTGCCTGGGTCGGCCAGGGAAACAGGAGTGTCGGCCACTCGGGTCCGCAAAGCAGGGTGCAAGAGCCTGGTGTGGGTTGCTGCCCTCAGGTGGGTCGGTGGACCCTGGCACAGGGACCTGGGTTGTTTTTGAGGGGGGGCTCTTGGTTCCCACAGTTTACCTGCCATAAGGTCCTTTTCAGTCTGAGGCCCCCCAGATCCATCACCCCAAACTCCCAGGGAGCCCTCCACTAGTGGCCTGGGGCTCTCCTTGGTGCTGATTAGATTCAACTCTGGCCCCTGTCACTGGTTACAAGAGGGGTCATGGTGCTTGTTGGGGCTTCCCCTCCGCCCCCAGGCCTGCCCGAGTGGAGTCTCAATAAACACTAGCTGAGGCAATGACCGTGGTGTGGACTGGATTTGCCTGAGGGGTCCCTGGGGTTGGAGAAGCAGCTGGTGGGAGTGGATGAGACCCTGGGCAACATGAGCTGTGTGGACTCACAGTAGCAGTTCTGTAAATATTTGTTGAACGAACAAGCAAACACACATGTGGGGACCCATCCAGCTCTTAATAGTCTAGTTCCTTCTGCTGTCCTCCTCCGGGCTGCCTCCCCCCAAGAGCTTGTCAATCCTTTCTCTGTCTGGGCCTTGGTTTCCCCATCTGCACAATGTAGGAGAACCATCTCTGGCCCCTCATTCGGGGACAATGGAAGGAACATAGGAGGCTTCCATGGAGACAGATTCAGTAGCCGAGAACTCGGGCTCTGGAGTCTGACTGGAGTTAGAGACTGACCAGCTTTGTGACCTTGAGGAGGTTACCTAACCTCTCTGGGTCTCAAAAACCTTCAGTAACATGCAGATAATAATAGTAGCTACCTCATAGGGTTATTGGTAGGGTCAGCCGAGACAACCCACGGAAGCACTCTGTCCTTGCTAAATTCTCAATGAGTGGTACCTATTATTATTTTTATTATAATCATTATCCCCTCTTCCTGCTGTAGGAAATCCTTCCTTCTTGTAATTCATTCTTGTCACCAGGCCCGCTTCCCACCCATAGTCCATGCTGATTCAGCATATATTCATCACGCTGTGAGTTACATCCAGAGCACCACACAGCACAACTGGGGGGACGCCTCACATCACGTCCATGTGATCCATGCTCCTGGGGTTCTGCAGTGCACAGCCTGCATATGGCCCTACAGGCACATCTGATCGCACCTCCCCAGAGCAGAGTCAGCTGCGGGCTCCCCACCTGTGTCCACTCTGTAGGTGCATCAGTGGTGCCCCGTGGGCTGGCGGGCAGCCCTGCTGTGTGGATGGAAGAGCAGGCATCCACCTGGACTCACTGGGGCCGCAAAAGCCCCCTGGGCCCCCAGATGGCCAGCCAGCCCCCACAGCTGCGGCCTGAAATACAGGAAGCCCAAGGCTGGCAGAGTCCTGGGGCTCTAAACTGTGGTTGGTTGTCTCTGCAGGGCTCCGGCCTTGCTTCCTCAGGGAGGGAACGCTATCTCTCTTCGACCCTCCTCCTTCCAATTCCTTACTTTTCAGTTCTAATGCCTTCAACCTGGGAGAGGCACTGGTGGAAATTCAGAGCTCACGTGGGGCAGCTGGTGGAGGGGTAAGGGAGTGTTACATGGAGGAACCTGGGAAGGCAGCTCGAGCCCCCTTCTGCGGTCAGTCCAGCCCTGGGCAGGGCCCCTGGGTCTCGCTGGCACAGTCGGGGCAGCCCAGTGGGTTGGGGCCCGTGCCGTGGCTGCAGATCTGGGGGCTCTCAGCCGGGCTGGCAGTGGCAGGAAGGGAGGCGCCTTCAGACTGGTCCAGCCCTGTTGGCACCTGGACTCGGCTAGGGTCAGCGGGTGTGGCCACTTTGGGGTTGTCTCCGGGTGTGGTCTTGTCTGATGAGGAGGTGGCTGCTACCTGGGGAGGCTCCTCTTGGGGCGGACTGCCCGGGGCTAGCAGGAGCCCCTTTTCATCCCAGCCTGGCTTGGTGTGGATGCCCACAGTCTTCAGGATGATGTCCATCTGCCTGGCGTAGTCCAAGTGGCCACTGACCTGCAGGACGGCAGTGAGTGAGGGCCATGGGGGGGTGGCGGTCAGAGCCCTGCCCTCCCCAGGGCCCCCAGCGGAGCTCTTGGGCCTCACCCTCTCCCTCCGCAGCCTCAGCCACCCGATCCCTAACGCCAGGACTCCAGCTCTCAATGACCTCAAACCCAGAGTGGGCTGGGAAACCTCTGGGCCCACGGCCACTCTCGAATTTATTAAACAAAGATGAAAGATGTTTCTCTATAAAATCTGGGTCCTTTGGGGGCAGGAATCATCACTAAGACAAAGGTTGAGGACTCAGAAGAAGGGCCCACCTTCTTCCTCAGAGAACAGAGTTACCCCCACTTTTGTGTTGGGATTGTGTGAGTGAGTGAAAAGGAGGGGTGACTGAGAGCGCCCGATGCCTCACGGTGATCGCGGACAATGCCCAACACGTAGTATATCCTTAATACGCTGTGGATGAACTTACTGGATACAGTCCTTTGACAGGTGTTGGCTCCTACCTGTAGATGAAGGAGTTGAGCCAAGGAGAGCTAAGGTGACTTGACCAAGGTCATTGAGCTAGGAGGTGTCAGAGTTGGGTTTTGAATCTGGGCCTGTTCTCTTCATAGAAAATGAGTTGGGGAGGGGGAACTTTGAAAATCATTGCCATTTTACCAAACAGGAAAGCAATGTTCATAGAGGGATGGTGGTTTGCTTAATGACACACGACACGTGAAGAGCAAAGCTGCATGGGGCTGGGCGTGAGATGCTGCATGTGCCATCTGCTCAGCTCAGATCTGCTCCTGAAATGCAGCCGTGCGCTACCCCCCACCCCCAACCCAGTTCACAGGGTCTGCTTTAGTGCCAGAGGCAAGCGCAAGACAAAACATTCCTTTTTGTTTAGAAAGAAGACTGGGTGGGGGGGGGGGGGGGGGGGGAACACTGCGGACCCTTAGGGAACCACACAAAGGCTCAGTTGGTAACATCTGCATTTCCATTTGAATCACAAATCACACTGAGCTATTCAAATGAGTTTTCAAGAACACAAGAAGACAATTCCCTGTAAGGTTTTGTTACTTTCTCATAACCAGAACCTGCTGACTTCTCCTTCCTTTTTTTTTTTTTTTAAAGATTTTATTTATTTATTTGAGAGAGAGGGAGAGAGAGAGAGAGAGAGCACAAGCAGGGGGGGCCGAGGAAGAGGGAGAGAGAGAATCCCAAGCAGACTCCATCCCGAGCGCAGAGCCTGACACGGGCTCGATCCCACGACCCTGGGATCATGACCTGAGCCGAAACCAAGAGTCGGATGTTCATCAGACTGTGCCACCCAGGCGCCCCTCATTCCTTTCTTTACAAATGCTTTTAAACAATGTTCAGTGAACACACACACAAGTATACACGCATACAAGGGGCTTTTTAGATCCCTGGGTTCAGGGTGGAGGTCAAGGTGGGGCAGTGTCTTCCCACAGAGGGTGGACATTACTGGCTGCAAGGCACTGGAAAGAACCTGAGTTTGGCGTCAGCAGAACAGGCGTTCCAGCCTCAGCTTTCTCTTACTAGTAACTGGGGGAGTCCTTACAATGTCCTGAACTCCAGCTTCTCCATCTGTAAAATGAGGATCAGGACACCTACCTTGAAAGTCTACTACGAGAGTTCAAGGGCCGGGCACTTTGTAGGAATCAGCATTCGTGACCTCTAACTATTATGTTCCATATATGGCCCAAAACACTTTCATAGGGACATTACCCAATTAGAATTAGTGATACCTACCTTGTGGGGTGGGTGGGAAAAAATAATACATACAAACCATGAGGTATAGCACCTGGCACATGGCCAGTGCTGCATAAATATGAGCTCCCTTGCCTTAGTGTCCTTGGAAGGGGCGATGGGGGACAGAGGGCAGGGCCTTAGCGGGGCTGATCCATTTGGGTACCCCAAATGGCTGCTGAAGCTCTAGCCATCACATCTCAATTCCAGCCAGCAGAAACCTAGACGCGTAGGGACAAACCAGAACTATTGAAGGGCTGGTGCTGGGCTGGGTGGAGGCAGACAGGAAGGAAGGAAGGGCTCGTGGCCACTGGCTGTAGCTGATTCCAGGGGGAAATCCCACCATGCAGCTCTCCCAGAACGCACAGCTCTGGCCTTCCATGACTCCAGCCAACCCTAGTCTCTGAGCTGCCACTCTGCAAAGACCCAGGGGGACCGCTTGCTGGCAGAATTCCAATTTTACCAACTTTAGCCAAAGGGATGGGAGAGCCGAGGTGAGGCGGGTGGGAGAAGAATCTCTTCTTGGTGGCGGGAAGGTCCGCTGTGGCTGATGCAGGACCATCTCCCCAGCTGTCTGGATGGAAATGGGCCACCCATCCGGATTCACACTGGGGGTCACTGGTGCTGAGAAGCCCTCCCTGACCTTCCCACGCTGGCCGGGGGATGGTCCCTGGGGCTCCCCTGTGACAGTGTTCGCTGCACCCCATCGTCTTTATCTGCTCACACGTTTGTTCTCTGATGGACTGTGAGCCCAGAGAGTGCACGGGCCACTTCCGACTCACTCGGGGCCCATGGCTGGCCCCGCGCAGCGCTGCCGGATCCACGCAGCGTGGACGGGCCTTGGCACCACCTGTTTGCGGCCTCGCAAGGCACCGCGGGACTTGCCCAAACAGGGGCTGCTGTCCCAGCCTCCGCCTGCCACCAACGCCTTCCAAGCCTGTTAGGCCCCTTCGGGTTCCTTTCCCTCCTGGGCCTCCGTGTCCTCATCTGTAAAACGGGGACGGCAAAAGCACCTGCACCGTGTGCGCGGGTGTGAGCAGTCAGGGAGCTGATACCCGGGGCGGAGTCACGGACACGTGAGCGCGGTGGCCTCAAGCCCAGGCTCTGGTAGGTTCCCCGGGCTCCACCCCTCACAGGCAGCCTCGGCTTGCACACCTGTACGGCGGGGCCGCCGTCCCCCCGTCACCGGGACGCTGTGCGGACTGTGACACACGATCTCTAGTACGTGTGGCGCCGCGCCCGGCACATGCCGGCTTTGTCTGCCTGAGCTCCCGCCCCACCCTGGGCTAAGTTCTAGAAGCCAGCCGGCATTTCCTCTGGGACATTAGAAGTCCGGAGACCACTGTGCTGGCTCTACGTGCCCTCCAGAAACCTCACGAGTTGGCCCCTCGGGTGGCGGCACCCCCCACCCGCTGCACCCCTGGCCCCGCACAAGACAGGTGGGCGGCCCCGCCACAGGAGATGGCCCCCCGCCTGCCCGCGCCGGGGCCAGCCCCTCACTCCCTGCCGGCTCAGGCTAGTCCGCAGCCAGGAGCCACCGCAGAACACGTCTGGGTCGGTGGCCGACGCGGGGCTGGTTCACGAAGGCTCTGCCGGCCTCGGCCCAGCGGGGAGAAGGCAGACGGTGCAGGCCTCGCTCTGAGCACCGGGCAGCCGGCGCGTCCGCCACAGCAGTAACGGCGACTCTCTCCAGCAAGAATCCTCCAGAAAAACAGGAGGGCAGCACAAAGGCAATGAGAATTACCTCCAATTACCCCGAAAGAGAGCCACTGCTTCTTGTGCTGTGCCCCTAATGGGTCATAAGGAGCTACGATCAGGTAAGAGCCGGGAAGCTGCCTCAACGACGGTCCAAGGACGGAGAGGGGTCTCAGGGGCAAAAGAGCCAAAGGGGGTAGCAGGGGCAGGAGAGGAGGGACCTAGCATTGAAATGAAGGCCTCGTACGGGCCGAGCATCTTACACGCGCTGCCCCGGAAGGTGAGTCCCCCCATTTCACAGATGAGGAAACTGAGGCACAGAGAGGTTAAGTCACCGGCCTGAGGTCACACAGCCAACACGCCAGTGGCAGAGCCTGGCCTCTCTGGGGCCAAAGGCTGCGCTCTTGCCACTGTATCCCCCTCAGGGGCTTCCCAGGGCAGAACGTGGGTCTTGCCAGGGTTCTGTGGTGTTTAAAGGGAATTTCATTTACAAGGGTTTCTTCTGATCCTTTTTACTTTTGATTCAATAGGACAGTGACCCCAGGACATAGGTCAGGAGGCCTCGCTCTGGTCCTGTGGTGTCTCGGTCTGGTCACTCAGCTCACCTCACCCCACAGGGAGGTGGACAGCACAGCCCTGGGCCTGGTGGCACAGTGTTCTGGGGGTGGGGTCCAGGTGCCCAGCTCCACCCACCATCAAGGTGCGGTGGGGGGGGAGGGGGTCACTGGCACGGGCTGCTTAGAAGCCCGGGGGGAAGCCCGAGTCCTCCAGAGTGCCCTTCCCTTGGGGGGTTTCAGATGCCCCCGGAGGGTCTGGTCTGTCTGCTCTCTGGCAGGGTGGTGCCTTATGGAACCTGGGGGAATGGGGATACGCTGGGAAGTGCTTGGCACTTGACCACTGGCAGCCAACCATGTAGTAACTGGAAACTGGGGTTCTTGCTCTCATGGGCCCCTTGCATCGTAAGGATTTGCACTGGCCCAAGCCTGCCTGGGGACGTAACTGCAGCTTAGCGCCCTCACCCTCCGGGTAGCGGCACCTGTCCCACTGCTGGCCATATCTTCCTGAGCAGAAGCGATGCCTACTGGCCTCAGACCTGGGTTTGAGTCCTGCTCGGCCATGTTCC